TGAATTGAATCCAAATCGTTCCATAATTCTATTGGTCTAAATTACCTCCAATTGTATACAAAAAGTTCCATGATTGAACCTTTCCTCTTGTGTTGCATTCACCCCTAAAACACCAGGTCCAGAAAATACCTAGGTCTTGAGGTGTTTCTGCCAGTCTGATAAGAATATTTGAGAACCTGTGGAGATAATTCTATCTCTGAGGGTAACAGGAGTGTCTTTTCTTTCTCCACACAAAAAGAGAATTTTTCTAGAGAGAAGCTTTGTGTAGCAGAACAGTCATAGAGCAGTTGCTCTAGGATGCCAGTTGCTGCCCTGCGTGGTTTCATGATTTTGGTAGGCTCCAGCCTTCTTTGATTGTCATTGAAGTTATTTTCTCCCTCGACTTCTCATATAGTCTTAGGTATTGGTGACATCACTGATGGGCAGAAAACTGTACCTGAGGTGTTCAGTGACTTTGGCGACTGTCCTGGAAGAGAAGGGGAGAAAGGGGGAGAGAGAAAAATGCAAATGAAATAGAAATCAAAAAAGAAGAAACTGGGTAATTTTTTGTATCCCCTGGGCATATGGGGTGTCATTTAAAATATCACTTAGAATCGTCTTGCTTGGAAGTCTGAGGCTAAATCCAGCTTTCTTCCCTCACAATTATGGGAGCGATTTGAGATAACTGTGGAATGTTATCTTATTTAGTTAGAAAAAATATTATTTTAACACATCCTTTCGTTCTTCAGTAAGAAACCCTGCCACCTTCCAGCTCAACTACCTGAGGCTGTTTCTCAATGTCCTTTACCTTTAGTAGGAGGCCCAGTTCAAGTTCAGCCTTTTCACATTTACCTGAGCACCTCACACCAGCATCTTCCTTGTGTCCACAGTCACTTTGTCCCCAGGGTTTGGCATGACAGTGCCACAGAAATGACTCATTGCCCTTGCACTGCATCTCATCCAACCAGATGGGTCCAGTCCCCTGGCCAAATGCTGCTTCCCCCAGGGCAGCCAGAGCAGAGCCACAGCCCAGCTGCTGACACACCACTTCTGCCTCTGCCAGGTCCCAGGAATCATCACACACTGTGCCCCAGGAGCCTTCGTGCCAGATCTCCACTCTCCCAGAGCACTTGCTGTCTCCTCCACTAATTCTTATTTTATCTAGAAAGGCAAAAAATGGGAGAAGGTTGGGGTAGAAAGACTTGAAAGTAGTAGGCATGCGTGATGAATACGGGGGCGGTAAGGAAAGCAGAGAGGCAGAATTTCAGTGTTAACGTGGATTACAGAATAACCTGTGAAGTGAAGAAGCCCCTATGCATGCCTAGTTTGCCTGTGGCAAAACTAGGTATTCATTTCCTACTGCTGGATGCTTGAAAACAAAACAGTGATTTCATTCTCCAAATCCTGATGTCCTGTCATCTCACCGAAACCTTCTATCTTGCCTCTTTGATTTTCACAATTTCTTCAAATGTAACTTTCATCTGATTTAAGGCTGGTCTGTAAGACCATTGCTTCTTCTATGCCCTCCAATGATCAGCCCTTTCCTGCCTTTACTTCCCCACCTGTAAATTATGCTGTGATCGTAACTACAAACATTCTCTTGCCCAAATGAACGATGCTTTGAGACTAGTGACCTCCCAACTTACCCTATGCGGCTGTGTGTAGATGCAGAATGAGCTTATCTATCTCCTTTGAGCCAATTCCTGAAATATTGAGTTGCACTGCAAATGATCATAATTCATGTCATTTTAAATTTACTTTTTAAAAATTCTGCTGAACCCTCAATATTTTTGATAACTTAACATTTTTCTTTATTTCTTATTCTTCATTATTTTGTCAAATGCTCTTTAATTCTAAGCGTCTACCTTACCTCTGCCCACCAGCTACATGAAGACCAAAAGGGAATCTCAGGATTTCTTTACTGGATTTCAGACCCCTTAATAGTATAGGAAAATCTACAGCTTCAGTAGACAATGGATCTTAGGTATTTTGGCTTCTATTTGAAAAAGCTTTTTGACCTCAGTTTCTCATCCCCAAGTCTACTAACCTGATAGCTTTCACATATACCCTTTAAAAAAATCTCCTTTCCCCTCCCTTGCCATAAGAATCCCTCTCCAGTTACCATGCTAACTCATTCCTCTCTCTCACAGCCAAACATCTTGAAAGAGTTTGATTTATTTTCTTTCTTCATTTTCTAATCTCCTGTTCATTAATAAATACTTTTAGACTAGCTTCTACCTCCCACCAACACACAGTGCATCACTGAATGGCCTATG